CATTTTATTTGACTTGTAAAATTTATGTGGCCAACCATGCTCACTTAAGAAGTAAGGATACTCCCCAGTACCTCATTGCTTCCTATAGTTTATATATACGTGCTTTATGGAACTTCCCTCTCTTCCCCCCACCATATATAGCTACTTTGGAACCTCAAATCATGATAATTTTTAAGCTTGATAATAGAAAATCATGGCAGTGGTTCCATACACCCTCAAATTTTGTGATAGATCATTTAGATATGCCCTCAACCTGTCACTTTAAAAGTTTTGTTTTTATTTCACTAGACTTTTATGCATTTTCCCTTATGTGGAAGAAGGAAAGTAAGGTTTGAACTCAAGGTGATGTCAAGTTTAGTTTTGATCTTTCTGCTCACTAAATGTTACTTTTCTATTTCTCATATCAATTTCTTAACTATAAAAGAGATACTACAGATAAATGAGATAGAGTGAGACAGAGACAGAGAGACACACTGACAGAGATAAGAGAATATCATATATACATTTATCCTAGGCCATGTTGCTAAAGTAATTTAATGTAGATATGAATACAATTATAGCTGCAGTGATAGAAATTTAGCCAGAACGTATCCCTATTGAATTAAAAGACATGAAGCATAATGATAATCTTGATTGATTCTGAAATCTTGGTTACTGGAAAAAAGCAAGAACTTTCATTAACTAAATAACGTCTGACTGTTCACATCAATATTGTACTTACTTAATAAATTAGAACCTTAGCCACTTTTAATTTTCAAAATAAGACTGTCTTGAAATGCTCTCTTTTGGATAATCACATCCTCTAACAGAAAGGTGCAACAGCAAAACTAAAATGAAACAAGACTTGTAGCAACCAAAAGAAAACTCCTCACCAGTTTCCCTTGGCAAGGCTAAGTATGTCCCACAGCACTTGTCTTAGTGCCCAGACCTTCTCGGAACCACTCAACGCTGCTCACCTCTACTACCCAGCCTTCCTCAGCCCCTTCGATTCACAGGAAGCACGGAACTTTCAGTGCCGCTGCGTCCCCAGGGTTATCACATAAGTGATTTACCAACAAGTAGAGTTGATTTGTGTTAGGTCCTGACCAAGACTGATAAGAGAAGATCAGATACAGTTCTGAAATATAAAGCAGGAAAGAGATGTTATTTAATAAGAATTTCACCAGAGGGGCTGGGGATTTAGCTCAGCGGCAAAAGCGCCTGCCTCGCAAGCGCAAGGTCGTGAGTTCGGTTCCCGGCACCGGAGAAAAACCAAAAAAAAAAAAAAAAAAAAAAAAGAATTTCACCAGAAATATCAAAAGCTAATAGTTTGTAAGTTTCTGTGAGTGACAAAGATGCACAACAAACCCTTCCCTAAAAAATGTGCCCAAGTGAAAAATGATAGCCACAAATTTCCCTAAGGGTCTAACTTGTTTGCTGAGTTGGAGGAACGCAGTTCAGGCTGACATGATTTACTGGGGTAAAGAAGGGGAAGTGCTCTGCTACTGAAGATGTCTCTAAATTATCTTCAGAAACATAGCCTGGAACACCTTCTGACTTTTACATACACTTTAGATATGTTAGATTCTTCCACTAGATTCCTAAACAGAAAACCCAAGATATTACGAGACATGGCTCTACCACAATTGCTATTCTGATTCTACTTAATTTTATCCTATCTCTCTGTTTGATTTCTGCTGAGGGGAATTTTTTGGAAAAAGTGGTTGTTCAAAAAGTATCTGTGCAATTACTGCTGAATGAATTTTTCTCACATAACTTCTAGAAAATCTACCTCAAATGCTCTTCTCAAGCAATTTTCACCCCAAATCTAGATACAAGTATGTCTATAGTTAGAAATGTCTAGGTCACTCTTGTATGGTTGGCCCACCCTCACACAGTAGGGTGTACTTTTTCTATTTTTACTTGGCCCAAATTTGTTCTGCAAAGCCTGTTTCTTCTTTTACCTTTAATAAAACTTTGTTATTGTTAAATAAAAAGGAAAATGTCCAGATAGAGCTGATAATCTGTTGACTGCATAAAAACCAACATAATTAGGAGTAACTTTGTGAATATCGTTAGAAATATAAATTCTCCTCTGAGATTAAAGAGATGCTTATTATTATGGCTTGTATCTAGATGTCCTCTCAAAGCCTTGTGTCCTCATAGGTGGTGCTTTTTGGAGCTGGCTGGATTGAAGATGTGTAATACCGGAATTAAATGGGTGCAGTGCTAAATTAGTCCACAGATTGGTTTATTATAGTTCTGGGTGTGGATGATAGGAAGATCTACTCTGGGTGTGGGTGAGACCAAACAATAAGTTTATAGCTTGGACAAAATATAAAGGAAGAGAGGGAAGGTAAGATTGCTGCTTGCTGCTTGCTGCTTTGCTGCATTCCTGCTACACCATGAACAGTTTCTGATCTGTGATAACTTAAAGCCTGACAATTATGAATTGAAACCACAAAAAAAAAAAAATGTGGACTGGAATAAACTTTTTTTTCCTTTATCTGGGTGTGTCATATATTTTGTCTCGGCAATGAGAAAAGTAACTAAGACACTTATCCTGCTGTAGTGGTTGATTGATTGTGTCAACTTGAGAAGCTTAGAAGCTTAACTAAATTAGCTCAGCAATTCTACACCCTAGAGTCTAAGTAGGGAAAAGAGAAATGAGGAGAAACAGAGGAGCTTCCATTCCTCACAGGAGCTCTAGTCTTCACCTTCAGCTTGGACATCCTCTCCTGGCTTCTAGCGCAGACTCTTTGACTTCCGCCTTGGATCCTTCAGCCTTCCATTGTAGACTCTTCAGCTTTCCTTCACAGACCCATTGACCTCCTGATAGGGACTTGCACAGAACGCTGCAGTGACTCCAGACCCTGGACTGAGTCTCCCAGTCTCCAGCATGCAGACACCCTCTGCACATTTCCTCGTCCGACTCTGGGGCTGGCCATCATAAGCCGACCTTGTAATTTCTTATACATTTGCATATCCTGTATTATATCTGTTTCTGTATAAAACCTTGACTGCTACGCCTGCTTTCAGTATAGCTCAGACCAGGAAAAAAAAGTCAAAAATGAAGTCTGGTTTTGATGAATGCCATCCTCAGAGTTACAAAAGTGAGAGGCAAAAGCCATCAGCTTCTAGTTACTGAATCGGTTGACAAATCGGGTGCTATATGTAAAGACTTGTCATTTTTGGATGACAAAAGTCTTTACTTGTCTGTAAAGACTAGTCATCCAACAAATTATCAAGTATCAGGCATTTTAGTAGATTTCTAGAGGCAAAAATAATTACAAAACAGACTCATCCCCAGAGGATTATACATTAGAAGACAGACATATAAAAATAATGTGCTATAATATGTTTAAGTGAGAAAGTGGAAGTATCTATGGAAGATTCACTAAGAACATCCTTTCATTTTATCAGTTGTGAAGGTGAAAGTCTGTCAAGAAAAGCTTGATAGAGAAATAATGTTTGATTCTGGAATTGCCATCTGACAGGGGAAAACTGTGAGTGAATGCACAGGAAAGAATGTGGGGACAGCAGAAAAAAAAGGTGCTTGGATGACAGACAACATGGAAAATGTGGATCTAGCACCCGTGGAAATCATCCTGGGAAAGGTATTCACGCTTTCATCCGCCAAATTCACTGGATACTTACTGTGTATTATTCTCTATGCTAATTGGGTAGGGGGAAGATTTGTGCTCACTGACTAGTAGTTTAGGAGGCATACACACATAAAACTAAATTATCATTTTAATAGGCTAAGCACAAAGTACACATGGTATATGCTGGGGGACACCCCTTAGAGTCAGAGAAAACTTCCTAGAGATGCAATTTTTAAAAATCCTTCAGAAAGGCCCCTTAGTAGAAAGAAAGGATGAGTAAGACAAGTAGAAAAAGTATCTCAGAGAGGCTGTGACCCTCCATCATAGGGAGACCAAACACAGAAAAGTGAACGCAGCAGAACCACGAGACAAGTGACAGGAGCATGGAAAGCGCCCCCCGCAGATGGGAGGCTGGCAGGCACGGTGACGGCAACCACTCCCGAAATTCTAATTCTAACACACCCAGAAATTGTCAGTTATCTAAGTGCAGCTTTGCAATTTCCTTATCTGAATTATTTGCTCTCGGTGCCCTTCACCACTATGATCATTAAATTCTTTAATAAAAAGCATCTTCGTGTTTGTTCTCCAAAGTATCCAGAAAGAGGAGGTAGAGGGAGATTGCTTTACCCTCTGCAGTCGGGCTTGAATTCCAAAAATAAAAAGAAGACAAAAAACCCTCAAGGAACAGAATGGATGAGGCCTGAGGATCTGAGAAGGGGTGAAAATATGCTAAGTCCTTCATACTCATTTCTACCAAGAAAGCTCTCCAGAACCTCAACCGAGCCCAAGCAAGGGTCCTGAAGCAGAATGGCTGATGCGCCTTCAGAGCTTCCACAAATTCCCGGGAGATAAACTGGAACTGTTGGCAAATCTGTTCCTCAGCTCGAGTAATAGCAACTTGAAAAAAACTGGATGACTCACCACACTTGATTTTGGTAATACTGGGGTAGGAGCTTCTTGGGGTTTTGTTTTAGGGAACATTTATACAGTATTTTCAATTTTCCATGTCACTAGTGATATGTAATTAAGTGACATACCAATGTAAAATTAGTCTTTCAATATAGTTTTCTAAAGGTAATGATATGTAATTGAAGAAAAGTAAGAGTTGCTCCTACTTTAAAGAGATGACCGTATCACATTATCACATCTGAGTCATGTAGTAACCACACCAAAGAATAAGTATAAAAATGATGGGAACGGTGTTCCTCTGGAATTGCAATGCGTTTCTTTGATTCAGGCACCAATCAGAAACATCTTGCTACTTTAGGACTGTGATGGTTTGACCCCCACCCAAAGCCTAATGCGGTGGGAAGGGCAGTATACGTGACTTGCTGTTGGCGGGCAGGGCCTGGCTGAGGAGGTCGGGCATTGGCGGCACCCCCCGGGAGGACATAGTCTCCCTTCTGGCTCCTTCCCTCGCGCTGTTTTCTGGCCACCGCCACTTGGACACCTCCTCCTCTGCTATCCCTCTGTGCCACGATGCCCTGCCTTGGAACCAGACCTCCACGGACTGAAACCACCACACACGGTGAGCCAAAGTGAATCTATCCTCCTTCAGGTTGAGGGTGTTAGGTACTGGGTCACAGCAGGGAAGAAAGTGGCTAAAGCAAGTGTGCTTAGAATCACATATAAAGTAGATCAGTAGATGACTGGTCTGCCACTTCAAAATTTGTGGCTGTAAAATCCTGTGAGCTAAGATTTTATTCTCTATAAGTGGAAGTAATGGCTCCATAACATGTGTTAAGAGATACATAGGAGAATGATATAAATACCTGACACAGAATTGGTATTTAAAATGTTAGTGTGGTGACTGACAACTGATGGTCAGCTTATAACCCCCAGCTGAACTGAGTCAGCGTGGTGCTGGGTGTGGGAGGCCCACCTGGGGACTGTTGCCAGCAGAGTAAGAGGCAGAACTGGGGAAGGAGGAGCAGGCTGTTGGACCTGGTAGAAGCTGTAAGGAGCTCTTGGTTCTTTCGGAGGAGCTCATCATGCTGGTTTTCCTGATAAATTCAGCTGTTTTCATCCTCCAAGGAGCTCAGGACCTTGTTGGCACTGAGAATAGCTTCAGTGCTCTTTGGGGGAGCTCTGGTCCTTACTTTGAGCATCACTTCCTGGCTGCAGAGTGGAAGATAGTGCACTGCCAGGCTCCTGGAGAAGCTTGCTGCGTTAGCTTTGCTGATGGGAACTCAGCTGTTGGAGGAGCTCAGAACTTCACTGTTGCTGAGGTTGGCTGTGCTACTTTTCGAGGGAGTTTTGGTTCTTACTTTGAGCATCGATTCCTGGCTCCAGTGTAGATCCCTCAGCCTGCTAGCACAGATCCTTCATCCTGCTGGCACAGATTTTCTAGCCTCCACCACTGACCTTTGGGCCTTCCCAGCACAGAACTCTGAAACAGGCCTGCATGAGATACTGTTATGGGCCCTAGGCCTCCAGCTGGACTCATGGGAGGCATTGTTATGAGCTCTAGGTCTTCAGCTGGACTCATGCAGGGCATTGTCATGAGATCCAGGCCCTCAGCAAGATTCTTGGGTCTTTAGTGTGTGGACAGACTTTATACACTCCTTTGCATATGATTCTTTGGGTGAGTGTTATAAATAATCTTATAAGATATTTGTCCTGTATTATACTGTTTCCCCTTGCAAATATCCCCCAAACCACGACAGTTAGTTATCATTAACATTTCCATGAATTAAAATAAACCATGTCTACCTAAGTTTGAGTTCAGTTCCAGAGGATGACCTAGTCTATAATTTTGTCCATATTTTTATAAGGATAATACTCAAGAGGAACACTACATTGCTGCTGATGGTGGTTGCTGCGTCTCTTATACTGAGTTTGCTAGACACCAGGTGTGCATGTGACAGTCCATGTGTATATGTTAAGGGCCTCTCGCCACTGTTTCAAAAACACGTTAGAGAATCACTGTGGCAGGTCACCTTCAGCTGCAGGACAGTGCGACTCCCTTGCTCTCGATCCGCATCCCCGCTTCTGTCTCAAGAACCTTGTACGATTATTCATTTTTTCTCCTCAGTAAACACAGATTACTGTGTTTGTAAGCGCTTAAAGAACAGTCTAATAAAGGATATTAAATTATAATTGTCTGGATATTTACATTTAGACTCACAAAATATGTTTTCTCTTATGTCCTCACCAACTTTTATCTTCCTTTTCATTTTCCAGTTGTACGTTATAGTTGTCGCCGTGACTCTATACAAGATTCTAACAATCTCAAATAGCACAACAAAATAGAGTCAAAATCCAAAATAGAGTCAAAATCCGTACTATATGCTAAGATACAGTACTTGGGAAAAGAGAGAATACTTCATTATGTCAGTACAAGAGCTCCAGAAGTGTATTGATTAACTAGCATTTTTGGCACATTACCCACTTCCAAGAGTTTCTTTTAACTTTAGAAAATTTGAAGCACTACTGTTACACGCACAAATGTGGTTCTGTGAGGGAAAAAAGTGAAATCCCTGGAAAATATCAGGGACCGTACCTTTAGTGTCTTTCTTTTTGTGATGGGATTATTTTTCTCATGAGGTTTTGGCAGGCCCTTAAATTTTATGTCATTTTTGATTAATTCTTTTTGTACTCCGGTGACAGCTAATGGAATGATTTGAAAGCTATTTGCTTTACAAAAAAGATCCAATATAGCTGCCTTTTGTGCCCATTCTCAAAGCTTTTACTTCTTTCTCTTGAAATAATTAGTAAAAGAGAAGAAAGATTGCGGTAATTACTAAGCATTATAAACTCTATCTGGGTGTCTGACATTACCAGTAGCTTTCATTAAAATTAGATCGCTTGTCTCATTTTAAGGAAATGCTACTTTTTACTACTTTAATGATATAATCTGAAAAATATCTTGACAGGATAGTAACTCTGCAAATGGATTATAGACCTTTAAATATATACATATTTTTGCCTTTTTCAGAAATCTAGAGGGTGATTAAAGTTGTTCCTTCACGTACATCAAGTTCTTAAGATTGACATTATAAAAATGGATCAAAGTCATCAATTATTTTGTAAGAACCATCAGAGTTCTAATATTGTATTTGAAGTCAATTTTAAGAACACATCAAAAAGTGAAAGTTAAGAATATCTTTTCAGTACTAATCAAGTAATATCAAATGATATAGGATATGTAGGAGCAGGACTTTGTGCAAAGAGTTTTAATACGCACAACATTTTCAAGTCCTTTATCCCTGCTACATTTACATTTATATGTACAATATTTTCTTCATCGGTCCCTTTATCATTGGTGCTATAGCAAGAGTATAATATACAGAATAATTTTCTTGATTTATAGAAATGTTCTAATGATATCAGTGCACCTTACCAAAAAAGTATCAAACTTTAACAAGAATAATAAAAATATTTTCATATGCAAATAGCATAAGTACCTAAGACACAAAGGGAAAAAGAAGTGTAATAAAAACACAGGTCAAAATGTTATCCATAGATATCCAGACTATTTTTGCAGACACAAAAATAGGAAACTATCAAGCTGTATTCTGAAAGAATCAGAAGCCTTAAATTATCTTAATTAAGCATTCTTATTGTGGAAAGACAATTCAAAAGCTATATGAATGTAAGTATTTTTAATTGCTTGGATGATTAAATAGTCTTTAACAACAAAATCTTATGTATGTTATTATCTTCATGCTACATGGGGTCCATAATTATGTCCTAAGAAAATCAACAATAAAAATATTTGAAATTAATGATATCCAGCGTCATTCCTGAAATTTAATGTTCTCCCTGAAAAGACAAAGTTGATCCTATTAAATGTGATAAATGAAATGTAAATTAAAATTTTAATAAGGTGATGGTTAATCCACTTGTTCATGGCTAACTTGAACTCAGTTAAATTAGTTCCTTATTAGGAACACTACAGACATGATTTTTTCTAAATCTCAAGGGCAAATAAGTATAGAGGACAGTTTGCCCCTAGATAGTTCTATAAACTGTTATTAAAATTATCACTAGTCACTTTCTTCTGTGCTGTATTTCATTTAGAAAATCACTTCTGCGCTGTTAGAGATAGTAAAGGTTCACTAAGAAAAATCATGGCACCAGATATGAGCGCAAAAATGTATCCATATATGAGCTTTTATATGATATTTATCTTTACTCTGGATAGTTTGTCACCAAGAATTGCACAAAACAATTCTCAGGTGATTGTAAAATATCACATGGCTTCTAAGCCGGATGCATTCCTCCTAGAAAGTATACAGAGTGTTTAGTAGTTGTTAGATGTTGTCTTCAATCTCCAGGGCAACATCTTTCAACTCTGTGTACTTAAAGATCAACTATTATTGTACCTGTTGTACATTTAACGTGTCTATCGTAAATAAATCATCAATTTTAGACAAAATTTTAAAAATAGTTCATCATACATTAAAAATAAAACAACTACTAACAGGGCTGGGGATTTAGCTCAGTGGCACAGTGCTTGCCTGGCAAGCACGAGATCGTAAGTTCGATTCCTAGAAATGGAAAAAAAAACCAAACAAAAAAAAAATTGGGGGGCTGGGGATTTAGCTCAGTGGCAAAAGCACCTGCCTGGCAAGTGCAAGGTCGTGAGTTCAGTTCCCGGTACTGGAGAAAACCCAAAAAAAAAAAAAAAACACTACTAACACTCATAGTAATAATTTATGTTTCATGCAGAAAGTCTTTAATATTCTTTTACAAGGATGCCTAAAGTCAGACCATCACAGAGAACTTGAGCCACTGGCAAAGTACAGGTAGTTCATTCCTATCCTGACCTTTGACTTTCCCTGCATTGGAGAAGCCTAAGTCAATACCGCATGGCAGGTGATCTGAAATAACAACATGTAATTTCGGACTGTCTGATCTGTATGCTGTCTCATCTCTATCTCTTATTACTCCGAAGAAACACAGGAATCATGACAACATTATGCTCCGCCGTGACATGCCAAGACAGCAAGCACTTTACTTGCAATGAGGGAACAGTTCTGAGTTTCTTGGAAGTAAGTTTGTAGCAACTTCATAAAATGAAAGTTAAAAAGAATATATAAGCCACAACTTATAATGATGATTACTAAATACTACTTAAGAATTAGTGATTCTTAGCCATGTTTACCATATTAAAAAACTATCATACATAATAAAATAATCAAAATCATTGTGAAGAAAGTATAAATTTGGATTTAAAATGTCTTTACTTAAAAATGTCTTATAATCCACAATAATCAAAACAGGTAATGCTGGCAAAAGTTAGGACACACAGGAATAGGAGTAAACAATAAGGAGTAAAACTCCAGAATTAAGTCTACAGATGTATGGCCACTTTCTTTTCTTTCTTTTCAATCAGATTGTCACGGTAACGAAAGGGATTTGGAACAGCCTTACCAACAAGTTGTGCTGAGTCACTCTATCTCCACATGCGAAAGAGTGAAGTTGGATCCTTACTTCATCCCACAGATAGAAATTAACTTCAAATGGACCAGAAGTGTAAGTGTAAGAACTAAATCTATAAATTCCCCTGTTAGGGTATTGAAACCAGGGCCTTTGCACGTGCTATATCCTCAGCATGTTTTTAGATAAGGTCTTACTAAGTTGACCAGTTGCCCAGGCTGATTTCAAAATTATGATCCTCCTGCCTCCCAAACTGTTAAGATTACAACTGTGTACTGTTACATCCAGCTTACAAAGAAACCACCAGGCTTATAATGAAGGAATATTGGAGACTGATCTAAAGTAGAGTTAATTCTGGGCTCTTACTCCTTCTTCCATGGGTCTATTTAGCAGTTAAATTTGAAAATTTAGAGGCTATTAGAAATATTATGCAAAGCACACTACACAAAAGAAACTATAGATAACTTGGACTCCGTAAGAATTTAAAACTTTGTGCTTTAAAGGATGCCATCAAGGAAATGGATTTGGTGGTGGAAGAAGACAGGGAGTGGGCTGGGGAAAGAGAAGTAAAAATGATTGAGATGTGATATGAGAATCTGCCAGTTACCCAAGATGAATGTAATGATGTTTCACAAATATACACTAATAAAAATAGTTTGGAAGAAAAGAAAATGGAAAGATAACCAACAAAATGCAGGAGGATATTTCAAAACTGTCAAGCAATTCATGTCCAGAATATACAAAAGACTCCAACAATTAAACAGTGAAAAGACAACTCAGTCTAAAAATTTGGCATGATATTGGAATGGACAGCTCTCCAAAGAAAATATAAATGTCCAATAAGTATAAGAAAATGTTCTTAAGATCATTCATCATTAGTTGTATGCCAACTGAAACTATAATGAGATATTCCTTCTAAGAAGGCTAAACTGGAAAAGGCAGACAAAAGCAAAGATTGAGAAGGTGAAGAGTTTGCAAACTTCACTGGCTGAATAAGAAAATGATGCATCCAAGCCGGGAAAAAATGGCAATTTCGCGAATAGTAAGCATAGAGTTATCATATGACCTTGCAGTTCTATACCTGGGTATAAACCTAGGAGAAACAAAAATATATATCTTTATAAAAATATGTATAAAGATATTCAAAACAATATTACTCATCATAGACAAAAGTAAAAATGATCTAAATGTCCAATCACTGATGAATTGGTAAATAAAATGTGGCATATTAACATAATGGACTGTTACTCGGGTATAAAAAGGCAGGAAGTACAGATGCATTACAACACAAGTGAAACAGAAAACACATTCTAGATGAAAGCAGTCATTTACAATTGCTATTTTTGCATCATTCATTCTCATGTAATGTCTAGAATAAGGTAATTAGTAGAAACAATTGATTAGTGTTTTGCCAGAGACTGAGAGAAGAGAGAATAGGAAAAGTGCTAATAGGAATGGTGTTTCTTTAGAATAGGTCAAATACTCAAAAATTAATTAGTTGTAATAATTAATCAACTTTGTAAATATACTAAAATGGCTAAAGGATATTCAAAGCTATTAGCACAGATTATTACTATTGTAGAAAAAATTAAAAAATGCTTTTAGGTAACACCAAGATCATCTTCAAGATATGCTCAATTTTGGGAAAGAATTAAAAGAAAATTCAGCAGCAATCTAAAATATCTGTTTAATGGCTGTATACTATGATTCCGTCTGAACAAGAGGGCAGTGAGACGCATCCCATATTATAGGAAATGAAATTAAAAACTGAATTATTTTTGACCAAATTGTGGAACCAGAAGATTATAATTTCTTTTTTTATTTTAAAGATAAAAGAATGAAAGCATATAACAAACACACACACATTTACAAAATAACACAAAAACAATATAATTTCTAACTGTATATAAGAAATAGTATATAAATCTAAGGGGTTGCTTAAATCATGTAAAAAAGCACCTTTCTTCAGAAGTTAGCTAGTGTACTGAAAATAACTTCTAAATAATAATGGAGACAGACTAACACAAGAGAGAAATAAATGAGTGTATTGGACAATACACAAAAGACTAACACAAAGAGAATGATAAAAAAACTAACACAAAAAAAAACAAATAAATGGGTATGTTAGAAAGTATTGATTCATACAAAACGAAAGGATAATGGATTTAGACGCAATATTCATAATATGTGATTACTACATATACTGCAAATTTAAATTATATACCATGCTGGTTTATTAAAGAAAGAGTAATAGATATTACTAAATTTTCCTAATAGTTTAGAGATACAAGAATTATAATTGAATTACTAAATGGAATGATACAACCTGACAAGATGAAACTAGCTAAAATTAAAAAGATAAAACAAGCGCTTAAAACAGGAAAGCAGAGTAACATAATATTCTGAGGTTGGTATTTTGAGTGTTTACTCGTGATATTGGTGACTGAATTGTACTAGAGAGTTTATGAGAAAGAGCAAGAAAGATATTGCTCTGAGAGGGCAGCGTTATTTTCTGTGGCCAATCAAATATTCCTTCTAAGAAGGCTAAGATCGAAAAGGCAGACAAAAGCAAAGATTGAGAAGGAGGTGAAGAGTTTGCAAACTTCACTGGCTGAATAAGAAAATGATGCATCCAAGATGGGAAAAAATGGCAATTTCGCAAATAGTAAGCATAGAGTTATCATATGACCTTGCAATTCTATACCTGGGTATAAACCTAGGAGAAACGAAAACATATATCCTTATAAAAACACAATGGTGCCGTCCTGATAACTTCACAGAAACGATAGAGATAAAATGACAAAACACAGCAAAACGTAGAGCACTAGAAAGACTTCAGTTGACCCATTAGCTAGTATTTCCCCTTGACATCAGTAAAGCAACTTAAAATATTTCCACTCACCCTGTTAAGAATTTCATCTACCTGAAAATAAAGTAGATGAGATAGGTGGGATGAGGAAGTGCCCTGTAGTTATTTTTTTACAATAAGGGAGGAATTAAATGGCAAAGTGGAAGGGACCAAATCTCGGAAAAAGGTTATCCTGTCCTCTCAGACAAAGGTGAGGAGAGTCAGAAGTGAAGACGTCATTAAGGGTAGAAGTACTTCTTTAACAAAAACTATGTTTCATCACCTTTGATGTTTCCATATACTAGTGGAGTTGAACACTTTTAATAGAACTTCTATATGTATGTGTGGGAGCAAGAAGAAAGAAGGGACCCACGGAAGCTAAAGTTATGATGTGTGCCTAAGAAAATAATTGAAACCCAACAAGAAACTAGTGAGGGATGTAGCTCAATGGTACAGCACTTGTCTAGCAGGCAGAAGGCCTTGGGTTCATGCGCAACAACACAAAAATAAAAAGCAAAACAAGAAATTCATTTAGTGAGAAAAGCACCAAAGATTTCGATCTTAAGAAAACAGGCATAAAATGCTTAGTAATAGCTGTTGAAGTTCATTGCTGACAGTGGACATAAAATTTTGCAGCAGTTATAACTCATAGCGTATATAGATTTGGGGAAAACCTAAAGAAGTTAAGTTTCAAACAACAAATTAAGGCAACTTAACGTAGTACATGGCTAAATGTCATGTGAACGTTTGGAAAACATACTTTACCCAGTTCTTTCATGCTCACACTATCTGAGCAGCTGACTGTATTTGCTACACAAGCAAGTGCATGTAATACACACTCCACATATGAAATTCAGTCCCCCACCCTCCTCCCTTTTACAGCAAGTCTGTCACATCCCCTACCTTTGTCATATCGTGACCCAGAAGAGCTAACAATAAGAGACGGTTCCAGGATACTTCATAATTTGCTGGGTTTGGTGGAGCACTCCTGCAGTGTCAGTGCTCCGGGAGGCTGAGGCAGGAAGATTACAAATTTAAGCAATTTAGTGACTTAAGGAGAGCTTATCTTAAAATAAAATAATAAAACAAAGGCCTTGAAATGAAGCTCAGTGGGAAGGCCCTGGGTTCAATACTCAGTAGCACCAAAAAAGAAAAAGACAAAAAAAAAATCTATGATCCTAAAAAAAAAAATCAGATGTCGTCAGTTCACATGCAGGCATTCAGGGAATAAAGAATAGAGAAATATTATCATTGTATGTATATATTAATTAAAATTCTTTCACAAATAATCCACAGTTGAATACTGGTAAGAAAGTTGTTTTTTCTTTCTGTCTTGTAAGCATAGGAAGCAAATGAAAGAAAAACCATTTGAGAATCTTTGTTTTTCTTGAGTAAGGTGTGCATTTGAGAAAGAGAGAGAGAAACATAGGACCTATGTCTGGTTTTTGGTGGTTTTTTTTGTTTGTTTTTTGGTTTTTTTCCGGTATCAGGAATCGAACTCATGACCTCACGCTTGCCAGGCAAGCGCTGTGCTACTGAGCTAAGTCCCCAGCCCCAGGACCTATTTCTGTATTAGAACTTGAGTTTTTCTGTCCACACCACTGGGATGTGCTAGTGTAATATATTCACTGCCAAGAGATACATTACTGAGCAAATGATGGAATCTATCATATACAGAAAAATTGACTACCCTTCAACTGCATCATATGAAAAGAAAAATTGTAATGAGAAGCACTGTCAAAATGTGAAATAGTATAAAATATATTCATCATTCATGTATAATAAAGAAAGAGAAGCACCTGCACATTGCCGACACTTAAAGGTAAATGGACAATAGGTAGAAGGGTGGTAGAGCCTCCAGTCTGGATGACAACATTCACATTTACCTTGTGCTACATTTATTGACTATTTTTTAACTTTAATAAGGCTTGAAAAATGGTTTCAGTGAAGGTGTAAGGTATAGACATGTTTTAGCCAAAAGGCAATAATTACAATACAGCAGAAGTCAAAAAGTCACAGGCTATTAGAGTTTGAATTACTATTCCTCCAATCCTGGCTAAAGCTAGTCTTACAACTAACAGGAAGAATCTAAGCATTTATAAATATTTATGTGTTTTGTATTGAGAGGTCAGACCGTTGCTTCTTTTTATTTATATTTGAAGACCAAAAATATCTTCAAAATGCTTTCACAGAAACAGACATATGTTTACTCTTCTTCCATCTTTCCATACTGAAATATAAAAGCATG